CTGTGCGTACGCCCCGGCTTTTGTTTCTGGTTTTTTTTTTTTTTTTTGAGACAGTCTCAGCAGGTGTGGTAGTTAATTGATTGTCTACTTGTATGGGGAACTGCCCAGCCGAATTGAGTCAGGGTTCTGGGCATGGAGGCCCACTTGAAGGAGAATTGTGGTTTGAAAGGTATAAAAGGAGAACAGGAGGGAAGGGTTTCAGCTGATTTTCCTTAGAAGAAGTTTGTTGATGTTGCCAAGGATGTGTTCTCTTTGGAGGAGTTCGGGTCTTCGCCTTCGCCTTGGGCATTGTCTCCTGGCTTTTGGCACGGATTCTTGAGCTTCCATCAAAGGCCTTTTGGCCAGCACAGATTCTTTAGCTTCTAGCACCAACCCTTAGTCTTCTGTTGAGGATCTTTTGGCCTCCTAATGTGGACTTGTATGGGACATTGCTTTGGGCTCCAGGCCTTCAGCTGACCACTAGCACGCGGACAGAACTTTTGCACTCTTACACATCTGACTGTGGGCGGCCATTGTAGGACAATCACATAAATTTCTGTGTCTGGCAGTAAATCTGATTCAGAGCCTATGCAGTCTTTTGAGGAGCCTTCCCCCAGCCCCACAAGCTCTTGTAAGTGCTGATTAAATGTGTTGGAGAAGTAGAGACCAGAGAAATCACCTGGGCTTGCCTTGTGTGAGCAAACGATGCTGTTTATTCTCTCAAACGCAAACAAGTGGGCTGACTGATTGGTGAGTCAAGGTAGCGTGGGAGGAGTGCGCACGCAATCAGGAAAGTGGTTTCTAGGCAGTTGTCAGGCATTGGTCAGAGTAGCTTGCCATGGTTCCCAGGAACCAGAGCAATGTAGCTCTTTTTGCACTTCTTGGAACCCAGGGCTGGGTGGGTGGTGTTTTGTGGTGGTCCTTTGCGCAGGTGTGCTCATTGTAGTAGCTTCCCGCCAGTGCACAGGGGCAGGTCAGGTGTTCTGTAACAGCCTTATCTTGCCAGACCTGACACTAGTACACTAGCTTTCTCAGGCTGCGCTTGAACTTGTGATCCTCCTCAAGAGTGCTGGCATTACAGTCATCCACCTCGTGTTTATTTTAAAGCAGTGGTTTTTAAAATTGCTATCTTTTCTATATTTGATTGATTAATTGCAGTGGAGATTGAATTTAGGACCTTTTGTTTGTTTGAAACATGCTGTACTGAGCTGTACCCCCATCCCTGGTTTTTGCATTTATTTACATTTATCGTTCTGTCATTCTAGCAAAGTACATGAGATACATAACTTCTAAAAAGAAAGGCAGTGCCCATGTGGTAGTGCCTGTAATCCCAGCACAGTCACGAAGATCACAGTCTTGACCCCATCCTGAGTTACATAGTGAGTACAGGGCCGATCTGGGTGACATAATGAAAACCTGTCTTAAAAACCACGACAAATAAAAACAGAAGGCTTATTTTGACTCACACAGAAATTTCAGAACATGATGGTTGGCAATTTGCAATTTCTTTTGTTTTGGGCCTGTGATAAGGCAGCACATTATAGAAAAATCATGTGTAGCGCATGCCTGTAATCCCAGCACTTGGGAGGCTGAGGCAGGAGGATCGCTGTGAGTTCGAGACCAGCCTGGGCTACATAGTGATTCCAGGTCAGTCTCAAATACATAGTGAGACCCTGTCTCAAAAAAAAATAAATAAATAAAAAAGCACGTGTAGAGGAAAACCACCCACTTCATCACAATGAAGTAATGAGAAATAGGAAAATCAGCATCCCACAGTCACCTTCAGTGGTAAATGCCCCAGGACCTGAGGGCTGGATTCCACCCCACTCTCAAAGGTTCTCCCAGTTCCTGCTGGCTGTATCCTGCGATACATATACCCCTTTTGGGTGATGTTCAGGATGCAAATTACAGCAATATTCTTGTGTAAATAAGAGCATTTCCTTGTCTGTATTCACAACGAATTGCTATGGATTTACAGATTTTTACTTTTATTCAATGTATAACGGTCTGTCTTTTTCATGTTCAAATTGTCACTGATTTATTCTGTGGGACATAGCCAAGCCAACTTTATGTCTATGCTTTGATCTATCCCTGTTTTTGTTTTTTTTTTAAATATTCCTACTTTGTGTTCCCTTGCAAACCCCTTGGAAAGATATACTATACTTTATTCACCCAGTCTTATATTTTGCTTTTATAAATAATAACTGAATAAATGACCTTGTACATATGTTTTCTTATATTGTTGGAGTTAGATCTTTAGGGTAATTTCCTAGAAGTAGACTTGCCTGTCCACAGGGTTAGCACAGCTTTTTTGTGAGTTCCTGCTAAATTATCCTCCACTGATGGGACCCATTTAGCTCTGCTTTCAGCATTGTGGGAGAGCTGGTTTCCCATGGCCTTTCTTCTTTGTTAGGCTTTTGAATTTTTGCTAATTTATTAATAAGTGAGAATTAGGACCTTTGTACAATTTCAATTTGCAATTCACCTGTGAATAATGCTGAGTATTTTGTTACATTTAAGGTATATTTGTGTATCGATAGCCTGTTTGGGTTTGTTGCTCATTTTAAAAAAATTTTTGTTGGTTATTTTTCCTCTCAACTTTGAAGCACTCCTAGGTGAATTATGTCTTTAACTGCAATATGTATTACAAATATTTAGTTTAATCTTTTTCCAGTGCTGGGGATTGAGCCCAGGGCCTTGCACATGCTTCACAAGCACTCTGGCACTGAGCTACCTCCCCAGCCGTTTTTAAAAATTTATTTTGAGATACAGTTGGGTTACCCAGGCTGGCCTCAAACTTGTGATCCTCTTAATTTAAATTCTGGAGTAGCTGGAATTACAAGCTGTGTCATTGCCCCCAGCTAAAATATTAATTTTAAAGTGCATTTCTGTCACAATGATTCTGATCTTTTGAACACAGTGAATAAACTGGATTTTGGGACTTTTGCTCTTTGATCATCTGTACAATTTCACTACGTGGAGATTATGAACTATTTAAATTCAGTTTGTGTCTTCAGTCTGAAAGGGAATTACCTAACCATTTAATATACGGTCAATTTCAAAAGTCTGTCGAAATAGTACTTTCTTACTTATTAATATCTTATGAGTGATTGAAATAAGCCAAATAGGTAGAAATACGCACATTTGCTTTTTGTGGCACTGTTTCAGTTGACGATATTTAGTCTTCTCATTTGAGAGGAACAAAAGGAAAATATGTGAGATTTGGATTTTTCCCTAATTATAATAATTTGGAATTGAATGATAGTCTTTTTTGAAATGAGACTTGTTAATGAGAATTTATTACTGGCTACGAGTATATTAAATATGAATATATTTTCCTGGGGAAAAAATAAATTACCGTGAACTACTTTCTTTGTATGTTTTAGGTTTTGACAACAATTCGTTCTGGCCATCGAGCAAATATATTTAGTGCAAAGTTCTTACCATGCACAAATGATAAACAGATTGTATCCTGCTCTGGAGATGGAGTTATATTTTATACTAATGTTGAGCAAGATGCGGAAACCAACAGACAGTGCCAATTTACGTGCCATTATGGAACTACCTATGAGGTACAGCATTATGGGTCTGTTATTAGACATATGTAAATGTGTTTCTGTATAAATGTTTAAGTGCATGTTTATATGCATTCATGCATAGAAATTGTTGATGGCTAGATTTCAGCAAAGCATTTGAGAAAATTTATCTTGGTAGGCTTGTGGATCAAGTTAAGAAATAAAGATGCAAGATATACTTCTGTAAGATGAATTTGTAGTTACAAAAATTTCAATATATAAAGCCTTGGGCCCACTCTCCAGTCATGTCCAGATCTTAGTACTTAACCAGATTTTCATATCAGAAGGGACTCTGCTACAGGAATCTGAAGAATCTGGTTTTTGTTGGATGTTCTAAAGGTTAAGCCCAAGCTAAATAGAGCGAGGTGGTATGAAGACTCAATTATTCTTTATTTGATTCAGAAAGATTGCTTATACTACAAAGTGCTCTTTTAAAATGTTTATTTATAATTTTCATATCAAATTACTGATTTTTCATTGTTTCTATGAACGTGATAACTTTCTTTCAGCATTTGAATTTCAGTTCTATATCCTTATGTGGACTCATACGAATATCATGGACCTGGATTTTGTTTTTTGTCCATCCTCAAATTTTTACTTTTTGCTGGAAGTCTTAGGATGGATCAAACCTGGGGCCTTAGGCATGCTAGGCAAGTGCTGTACCGCGGAGCAGTACCCCTAGCTATGTGCTTTCTGCTTTTTAGTTTTCTTTGTTGGTACCATCTCCCACTTTTTGTTTATTTTGTTTCTGCTGCTTTCTTGGCATGCTGTATGCCATGTTTTGGATATAGGAAGCCAGGTTATCTGGTCTTGGAAAGAATGTGCCCATTGTGTAACCTAAAAATGTCTTTGTGCTCTGTGGAATTGCTTTGGCTTTGAAGCCCAACAACTGATTACAAAAAATGTATTACACACAGAGGTCTTTTTTTTCTTCATTTAACTGTAACTGGTGCAACATGCTAATTTGGAATCCCCCCCCACACACATTTAGGCCCACTCTGAATATTAACCATTTATCATCAGATATATAATTTCTAAATATTTTTGACCATTCCATAGGTCCCTTTTCATTCTATTGATTTATTTGCTTTGCTACACAATTTTAAGTTCATTATAGTCTCACAGTTTTTGCTTTCGTTGCCTTTATTTTTGGGGTCTTAGCCAAGAGGTCTTTGACAAATCCAATGTTGTGACACTTCCCTTATTTTATTCTAGTTTTATACTTTCAGTCTTACGGTTAGGTCTTTAATTCATTTTAAGTTCATTGTTTTATATAGTGTAAGAATTCAACATGATTCTTTTGTGTGTGGAAATGTACTTTTCCCAATACTAGTGTTTGTTGAAAAGACTGTTCTTTCCCCCATCGTGTATTCTTGGTGATTTTGTCAAAGATCATCTGACCATATATATATGAGAGCTTATTTCTGGATTTATCTGGTCCATTGATCAGTGTCTGATGTGGTTTTTTTTAGTGGTAGTGGGAATTGAACCTAGGGCATTGCACATGCTAGGCAAGCACTGTAACGCAGAGCTACCTCTTTATTTTAAGCCCTTTTTATTTTAAGACAAAGTCTTGCTAAACTGTCAGGCTGACCTTGAACTTGTGATCCTCATGCCTCACTCTTCCAACAAATTGAGATTATAGGTTTGTGTCAACATGGCTTACATATCTGTCTGTAGCCTAAGACACCATACTGTTTTGATTACTGTAGCTTTCTAGTATGTTTTGACATCACGAAGCATGATGCTTATAGCTTTGTTGTTATGTTTTAGGATTACTGTAGCTATTTGAAGTCCTTAGGGATTCCATATAAATTCTAAGATTACTTTTCTGTGAACGGTGTTAATTGGGATTTTGATAGGGAGCGGTTACATGAGATCTTTAGGTCACTTTGTGAGGCATGGACATTTTAGCAGCATCAAGTCTTTTATTCCATGAACATGGAATGTCTTTCCATTTATTTGTTTTTTTTAAATATTAAATTACTTTAAAGTATTTTTGATATAAATATGAACTTGTCTGTGTGTTGCTTCATTTAGCACTGTTTGCCATAGTCATTCATGATTTTAAAAATGGTAGGATCTCTTTTTTTTAGATTGAATTATATTCTGTTATTTACATATATTGATGTATACACAGACACCACATTTTCTTTCTCCACTCAGCCGTTAGTAGACAGGATATTTCTGTATGTTGGCTGTTGTGGCTAGTGCTGTGATGAACTAGGGCTGCAGATATTTCTTTGAGATGGTTATTTTATTTCCCTGGATGTGTACCCAGAAGTGTGATTGCTAGTTCCTATGGTAGTTGTACTTTTTACTTTTGAGGATCCTTCTGTTTTCCATAATGTGTATGCCAGTTTGCATTCTTACCAGCAGTGTGTAAGGGTTTCCTTTTCCCTACCTTCTCACCAACACGCATTTCTTGTCTTTTTAGTAATAGTCATCATATCAGGTTTGAGGTGATTTGAAGTTGCATTTCTCTGTATTAATCATTTTTTCATGTATCTGTTGGCCATCTGTATGTCTTCTTTGAAAATACATCTATTTAGGTACTTTGCCTATTTTTAATCAGATTATTTGCTTGTATGCTGTTGAGTTATGTGAATTTCTGATGTTTTGAATATTAATTCCTTACTGGTACATTGTTTGCAAATATTATTCCTGTTATATCAGTTACTTTTCATTTTGTTGATTTGTTTTGTTTCCTTTGTTTGCTATGCAGAAACTTTAGTTTGATATAATTCATATTTATCTACTTTTGCTTTTGTTGCCTGTATTCTTAAAAAAATCATTGCCGAGATCATTGTTACGGAGCTTTACCTCTGTATCTTACTCTGAGAGTTTTGTGGTTTTTAAGTCTTAACATTTAAATATTGAATCCGGGGGAGAAGGGGAGAAAAGGGAAGAAAAAGAATTAAGATGTGTTATATGTATGTCCCAACTCTTCATTGATGAATGTAATCATTATGTCCTGCAAACATACTAATAAAAATTGGAAAATTAAAATAAAAGTTTTTGTGTTTAATTTTTGTGTGTATCAAAATCCATTTCCCCAGCATCATTCATTGAGGAGCCTGTCCTTTCCTTATTGTGAATTCTTACAATTCTGTTGAAGCTTGATTGACTGCGTATGTGTAGGTTTATTTTCAGGTTTTCTGTTTTCTGTGCTCTGTCTCTTTTTATATTAGTACTATGATGTTTTGATTGCCATAGCTTTGTAATGCCATTCGAAGTCAGGAAGTTTAATGCCTCTAGCTTTAATTTTCTTGATCAAAATTATTTTAGCCATTTGAAGTCTTCTATGGTTCTTTATGACTTTTGGGATTTTTTATCTATTAGAAAAATGCCATTGGAATTTTGATAAAGATTATAATCTTTTGGGTAGTATGGTCATTTTGGCAATATTGATTCATTTGTTCCATAGAAAAGTGCTATATTTCTGTATAGTTTCATCCCTTTCAATTTCTTTCCTCATTGTTTTTATTTTATATATTTTTTTTCTTTTTAATATTGGCAGTTGAACTTGGAGCCTCAGCACTGAGGTACATCTCCACCCAATGCCTTTTAAAAGTTTTTTGAAGCAGATTCCCCCTAAGTTACCCAGGTTGGGCTCAGTCTTTCAGTCCTCCAGACTAGGCCTTCCAGAATCTAGGATTACAGATAAGCATATGCTACCCTGCTTGCCTTCAACTGATTGTTTATTATATATTGACTTTGTATCTTTCAATTTTAGTGAATTTCTTTGTTGTATTTCATAGTTTTCTGCTGGAATCTATAGGATTTTCTGTGTATAAATTAATTTCATCTACAAAGACATTTTGCTTCCTTTTTTATTTGGATGACTTTTATTTCTTTTTCTTGCCTAATTGCTTTGTCTAGGAAATAGAAGTGGGAAGACTGGAACTCCTTGTCTTTTTCTAATATTAAAGGAAAAGTTTTCAGCTTTGACCATTGAGTATATCTGCCATTAGATGTGGACTTGTGATATATATACAGCCTTTAAAAAACAAACTTAGGTACTACATTCTTTTTATACCTAATCCTTGAGAATTTTTATTATGGAAGGATGTTAAATTTTGTCAAAGGTTTTTTTCATCAGTTGATGTCATATTTTTGTTCTTCATTCTGTTAATGTAGTGTATCACATTTATTGATTTGTGAGTGTTGAACTATCTTTGTGCTGCCAGAATAAGTATCACTTGCTTATGGTGTATGATTCTTCTGATTTGCTCTTGAATTCTCTTTGCTAGTATTTTGTTGAATATTTTTGTATTTGTGGTCATTAATAATGCCTGTAATTTCAAAGAGTAAATCAGAAGAGAACTTTAAAAATATGCCGAGAGTAATGAAAATGGAAACACATACATCAGAACTTAACGAAGAGGCAGTTGTAAAGAAGAAATGTGCAGTGATAAATGCTAACATTAAGAAGAAAGTGAACACCCGATGACATTACATCTCAAGGGACTGCAAAAGGAACAAAATAAGTTCATAGATAGCACAGGGAAAAAAGTAACAAAAATCAGAACAAAAGTAAATGAACTAGATCTTGGAAAAATAACAAAAAGATCAACAAAACTGAGAGTTGCTTCTTTGACAAGATGTAGTTGACAAACTTCTAGATAACCTAAGGAAAAAAGAAGACTTGGAAAAATCAGGTGAAAAAAGAAATGTTACATCTAATACCACAGAAAAACGAGTCAATAAAAGAGAATGGTATGAGTGATTATATGCCTACAAATTGAATAAAGTAGAAGAAGAAAATATATTCCTAGAATCATAAAATCTACTAAGACTGAATCATGAAGAAATAGAAAATCTGAATGGACCAATAACATAATAAGTAAGGAGATTGAATTTGTATAGAAAACATCCCATCAGAAAAATCGATCTGGTAGCTTTATTGCTGAATTCTATGAAACGTTTAGAGAAGAACTAATACCAGTTCTTCTCAAACTCTTTTTTAAATTAAAGAGGAAATACTTCCAAATTTA